AATCATCATCTCTCCCTTCCTAGTCATATCTCATCCTCCTCTGAGACGAGGACAACAAACCCCAAGCTAGACTCCTCTTCGTCTCGATCCGCCGTCGGTCATCCAGATACGACCCGAAACCCCAAATCGGCCATCAGAAAAGAAACGACCTAGGTAAATCTCGACATGCATATTTCCTTTCTTAGGATTTTTGGTTTTTAATAGGATTCTAACCTTTTTCGTTTTGTTTGAATCAATGGTTTATGGGTTTTGGTTTGAGCGAAAGGGAATAGCAACCGACAGAAGATGCAGAACGGCTCCCCTTTTGATTCAGGCAAGAGAACGACTCTAGCCTCCCTAAATCGATCGGAAATCGACGATCTAGGTAAGATTCTCGACATGCAAGCTCTTTTCAATCCGTTTTAGTTGATTTTATTTGGGATTCAGCTAATATTTATTTCTTTTTTCTCGTATTTTGGATTCGGTCGGCGGCGATACTCTGCCGACGACGATCTACGGTTCCAAACAAAAGAAAGGTAGGACTTTGACTCCTTAATTTAAGTCAATCTAACGTTTTTATTTATTAAAAAAAACTTAATCTAATTCGTTCTTTTTATAGGTTTAAAAGAGAGGCCAGACCTGGGTAAGGCTCTTCTAACCTCGGTCTGGTATGATTAAGGATAATTAAACTGAATAAATGGATTATTATTGTTGATTTGGGATTGATTAGCATATATGTGGTTTGGAAACATGATGTATGTGGGTTTGATGACCATCTATGAGTTTGATGATTTTGGTGTTTGGTGGATAGTTTTAGATGCAAATCTTGATATATTGGAATTTGCTAAAAAGAAAAAAAAGTTTTTGTAATGGGTAAGTAATTAAATTGCTCTAAAATAGCTAATTTTGGTAATTATAAATCATTGCCTCTGCCCGCGATGTCTCTAAATTATGGATTTTGCTGTTAGTTTTTTTTTTAATATGAAAATTATTGTGATTGGGCAATTTTGTTTGGGTCTGGATTCAGGTTCATCCATGAGCTTCTAAAAAGTGGTTTTTCCTTCTAAAAAAAGTGTATGCTATCTAGTTGTACTTTAACTTGCCCATGTATGACCACGAATGAGGGAATCTAAGTATGGCAGAAAATTAACTCAAAATATCGACCTCTACTCATAGTTAAGTCAATCAGCGTAGCAGTAATAGCATAGACGAAGCTAATAATACGAGAGGAAAATGAAACTTTAATGGTAGAGCTTAATGAAGCTTATACGAGCAGATCTTGGTAAGTGGAGTGCTTGAATGTAAAGAAGCTTGAAAGTAAAACGCTAGATTGACGATTTTGACATTAAGGTGGTTGACTATAAACTTGACAAAATGAAATGAGATCTAATTAAGAAGGTAGCTGGGTATAAACACCAACCTGGTTGAAGCTTCTGGCCTAATAATGAGCTCCTTTTGCTTCTCTTCAAATATCTGGACTGAACTTCGTACAAAAGAAGGATCGAAAATGAAAACAGGATGCTAGTGTTTCTCTTGAATATTTGTCTGTTTCTCTTTGTTGGAATCGTCCTCCCCCTATAACAAAGAGCCCCAAGAGCTCATTTATAGCAGAAAAGCTGTACCACGTGTCTTTTCTTCATTGGTCGATTTTGAGGCCCATTGCGAGACCTCCACCACAGTTGGTCGGTTCTGCCTGGTCAGGATAGGGTTGGCACACAGTTTTAAGCTGGAATGGCAGGGCTGTTTGCTGGTATCTGGGGCCGACTTGGCTCTTGTTTGGGCTTGGAATGGACTTGAATTTGGGCTTAAAAATCTGGAATTGGACTTACCCTTTGGACTTAGTCAGATCTGGGCTTTAGTTTGAATCTGGAAACTAGCCCTTGTGCTTCAACTAACTGTTACCTATGTTTTTGCAGATCCAAGTCTAAAAGTCTTTGAAGCATTGGGCTGGGCTTGACTCTTCCTTCGTAGGCTAAATTTCAAAATTCTTGTATACCAAAGTATGGTGAACGTGTAATGATGTTTAATGATTGTACCAAATTTCTAATTTTTGAATCATATACTTTGGGATGTTTCCTTTCGAATTCAAGTCCCATTATCGAACCCAAATGCTCTCACACGAAATTGGAACGAAAGATCGGACTATCACTCTCGAATAGCACTCTCTTTTGTTGTGTAAATTCAGGTCACAAGTTTTTTCGTTTTATATCCGGACAAAATGGGGTGTCTACAATATTTTTTCATCTGCATCTTTTAGCCCCCCTATAATATATGGCAGTACTTCAGAAGATTTTCAGCATTTCAAATTTCCTGCCTTCTCCTTCATTTTTGCTAGGGGCATTTTTGTAACTAGGTTGATGTGGTCGGAACTCCTCTTTGTTTAGCGAGATACACAAATGAGGCAGCGGTTTCCTATCGGTGGAACTTAGTCTCTATAAAATCTCCATTATCGCAATACCAGAAGCAGAGGAACAAGCGGTGGTTCGGATCTTGGTGGAAATCATTCTCTGCATCTTCCCCATTCGCGTAACACCAGGAGGAGCAATCAATTAGTGGTCGCCTACTACCATATCCTCTCCGAATCAGTTTTCAGTGGTCGCCCGATGACTCGCACGAAACTACACCGCAATAAAACCCCAATTAGAGCCCAAGTTTTTAAACTCTAATCGGCTGCAGTATATGGCAAGTATTTAGATATCGACCCGCGCCGGTCCGTCTATCCCTACTTCCGTTGTTGAAATCACTATCTAGCAACAAAACTTTGGTTTAAAAGGTTTGCTAATTGAAATAAAAGAAAGCAAAGGTGATTGGGTTTGAAAACTCTTTTGTGGGAAAGTCACTCGGGCGTCGTTTCCCCCTAACCGCTACCATGCTATGTGGATTGGAACGATTGCCTTGGACACGTTAATCGTGAACCGCAGAGGAATGCATATGTGGTTGGAGACCACAATCTCAATTGCTAAACCGAGGTGAGGATGAAAGATCGTGTCACTCGATCCTCTCGGTTTAGACAATCGCTAATTGACTTACTCCCTCACTCAACTCTAAGGTCGGACGATTTAATCATGATTAATCGACTTGCTTAACTCAATATTGAGGGTTTCCCTAACTCAACCTAGTTTAGGCTGCTTAGAAAGCGGAAGGAAAACCAACTCGATTGAGTCTCACTTGAAAGGAGGATTTTCCTCTCTAAACTAGGCTAATGTGGCAAATTAGATTACTAGCACCTAAATGCGCAAACTTAGGGGGTGCTAAGCACAATTATGCACAATCCCTAGGTTGCTAGGCACCTAAATGCACAAACCTAAGTATGCTAAGCACAAAACATGCACAACCCCTAAGTTGCTAAGCACAAGCATGCACAATCATGGTGAATAATGCCTCAATCATTGAATTGAACAATACCCAATGACAATCATCCAAAACACATACAAGAAAACTAAATGGTAGAGTTAGGGTTTCACTACACCCAAGTGAAATGAGGTCTACTTCATGCTAGAAGTGGGAAGAACAAAAGGGGAAAAAGTGAAAACCATCTTTGAGGATGCTCCCTCTCTTCTTGACCCTTGAATTGAGCTTTCCTTGGGGGAAATCTTCCCAAAATCTGCCTTGAAGCCAAACCCTAACCTTCCTCTTCCCTTTGGTTCTGTTTCTCTCACTAGAATGTTGAAGAAGGTGTTTCACACAAAAGTGCGCTCTCCCCTCTCTCCTCCTTTCACCTCATATTTTAAACCCGAGAAGAGTTGAGTTCACGGCCTGAGTTCACGGCCGTGAAACATCAAACGTGTTTGTGAACTCAAGGGTACGCTAAAATGCTCCGCATCGCTCACGTCTGTTCACGGTCAACGCATGTGTTCACGGTCTTAGTGACCGTGAACTCACCTTGCATCAGTAACCTTCACATTGGCTCTAGACGCCTCGCGATTCATGGTCAACTCCCCTTCTTCACGGTCTTGCATGACCGTGAACTCCTTCAGTTAGACGTGAACTGGCTCGTTTTCACATCTTCTCCCGGTTTTCATTCCTTTTCGCTAATCTTTCTAGTCCGAGCCTGGTTTCACCTGTTCAATCCCGAAACACACTCAAACACGAAGAACCTAGCGTAAAACCAACATTTTACTGACGCCAGGCGAGTTCACGGTCTTAGCTATAATATATTTGTAGGTTTAAAAAGATACCAAACTTTTCTTTAGTGCAATTGGTAATGCTTGTTGTTTTTGTTTGGAAAGACCATGATTCAAATTCAGAGATTGATGTATTTTTATTCTTATGAATAAAAAATATTTCATTGCAGCAAATTTTTTTTTTTGGGGAACCTGCTTTAAACAAGATTAAGGAAGAGTTGCAGGTACATCGTCCAAATAGTCTCACTCTGGGCCAAAATGTGTGCCACATTGTTAGCCTCACGCCGAGTATGCTGCACCATATCTGAATGTGACTCAGCTTGCCTCAAGTATTGCCGTATGCTACGACAAATAATCCTCACTTCATTATTAGGACCAGTTGATAACTTCACGAGCTCAACAACAGTAAGCAATCCATCTCTAGAATAACTCTCGGAATACCCAACTGGCATGCGAGTTGAACTCCAAGTTCGGCAGACAAAGCCTCCGCCTGCTCGACATTATGGTTTCCCTGTACTTTATTCACAGCTGCAGTTTCATTGCAGCAAATTTGGAATGCTGAATAACTACTTTCAACTCTACTATAATATATTTGTATAATGGTAAAGTAGTAATATTTTGAATTTTTTTAAACGTTAATTTTAGAAGGAAAAAATCCAACGGGCCAGGTGGTCTTGGCCGATTTCCGTTGCACTACCGTTATACACGTGGACATCTCTAAAATCAATGGCGGAGGATATAGGAAGTGGAATGAATTCGCTGGGCTGCGGAGTTTGTGATCCTAACTCTACGAAGATAAGAGATTGAAGAGGCGACGACAAATAAGAATCGGATATCCAGCTGATAGATAAAGTAGACAACATATATATAGAACTCCGGCGCCTTTGTTTGTCGGCAATGGAGGCCGTACAATTTTCAACCGTTTCCTCCCGCCATTTTCCTTCGGATTCCTTGCAGAAGAGTTCCGGAAGCTTGTCTAGTTGCAAATGTGCGAGGAATTACGCTCAGGCTGTCCGTTCTTCATGGACCGGTTCGAACAGCGTTGTTTCTCTTTCATCGAGAAATCCGTTTACCGTAAGTCAAAAGGAACTTAAACGTGTAACTCACTCTGATGCTATCTTACGACGGAAATGTTTGATTTCTGCTTGGGATTTACTTTGAGCAGAGAGAACTGTGGGGTTGGGTGAATACCAGGGGTGTTGCTCTGCCTCTGAGAAGAGATACGCGTGGCGTGGTGAGAGCAGAAATGTTCGGGCAGTTGACCAGCGGGCTTGAAAATGCTTGGAACAAGCTAAAAGGAGAAGGTAATCTCTTATCGCCTATTCTTCTCCTGTAAAGATCTTCAGTTGGTATTTTCCTACTTGAAGTTTTGAATTGTAATTAGTCATGGCGTTTCAGAGGTTTTGACGAAGGAAAATATTGTGGAGCCTATGAAGGATATTAGGAGAGCTCTTCTGGAAGCAGATGTGAGTTGCTTTGGTATTCATGGCTCGAGATTAGAGTAATTTCCTAATGAAACTTCATATATGTAGTATTAATGTTGCTATATATATTTGTGGTAGGTAAGCCTTCCAGTTGTTAGAAGGTTTGTTCAATCAGTTAGCGAGGAAGCCGTTGGGGTAGGCCTCATTCGAGGTGTAAAGCCTGATCAGCAGTTGGTCAAGGTATGCATTTCAATGGCGCAATGCAATTATAGTGGTAACTGGTAATAAGTGATGACTTGGAGTCTTCCTCAGCTTTTTGTGCCTGATAAGAATTGGGTGTTGGTGAAGCATTCAATTGATATGCTTTCTGTTTTCAAGTTTGCTTAAGCTACACTGAAGCGGTTGTCAGATTATGTAACTTATCTGGTTACTGCAGATTGTACGTGACGAGTTGGTGAAATTAATGGGAGGAGAGGTGTCAGAACTAGTTTTTGGGAAATCTAGCCCTACAGTCATATTATTGGCTGGTCTGCAAGGAGTTGGCAAGACAACTGTATGTGCAAAGCTGGCAAACTATCTTAAGAAACAGGTAGGTAGTCGAAGAGATGCTCTTTTTATTCTCTTTGTGGCATTGGTACAACTTTCAGCAGAAACTGTGCTCCTATCTTAGTAAACAACAATAGCATTCTGCATCACCTCTTAGTTCTCACTTGTTATTGTTGGCACAGGGAAAGAGTTGTATGCTTGTTGCTGGAGATGTGTACAGGCCTGCTGCTATTGACCAACTTGTCATTTTAGGTGAACAGGTAGTATATTCCCAACTTCACCGAAGTATCAATACCATCCTGTTTATGTTGAAAACCTTTCAGGGTGTCCTTTGTTCTAGTAATAAACTGCAATTATTCGCCACTGGATATGCAAAATGTCGTTTCTTGTAATGAAAACTATATCATGGAATGCTTGTATCAGAAATTCCTTCCAGATTGGGTCCTTGTGTAATACCAGAAGTCTGTTGTCCATAGAGTTGAATGGTTATCAGCCATGAAATTTTTTCACATCAATAGTTTTCTGCAGGTGGGCGTTCCTGTTTATGCAGAAGGGACAGATGTCAAGCCTTCTGAAATAGCTAGGAAAGGCTTACAGGAGGCGAAAAGGCAAAATGTTGATGTTTTGATAGTAGATACTGCTGGAAGGCTTCAGGTGAATATGTAAATCACAATAGTTATGCAGTTCTTGGAAAGTTCTGTGGCTTTGTCCTCTGGCTAATAATTAATGGCTTAATTGTTTACAGATAGACAAAGGGATGATGGATGAATTGAAAGATGTGAAGAAAGTCCTGAATCCGACCGAGGTTTTGCTTGTTGTGGATGCAATGACGGGCCAGGAAGCTGCAGGTTTTCCCTAATTATTTTGCACAGCCAATAATTCAGAATTGCTTGGATTGATATTTATGTAAAGATGCACACGCACACACACATATAGATGGCAGCCTAGCATCTAAGCTAAAATCACAGGTGCTGTTTGCTGATGAATTGAGTGAAACTTAAGGGTTCAGATGGGACAGTTAGTCCAAATTTATGCCGGGTTTTCTTTGAAGAGAATTTGGATGTTAAGATTTACAATGAAATATTCCCTGCATTTGTGTTCCTATGTGTTCTTGCTGTTGTTCACTACTTATCTTCCCAAAAGTGCTGAATTTGCTCGTTCATAGACATCCTCACATTCAGGAATATCATCTAAGCATTATGTCATTACGCTATTGCAGCACTAGTGACGACTTTCAATGTTGAAATTGGAATCACGGGTGCCATTTTGACAAAGCTAGATGGAGATTCCAGAGGTGGGGCTGCTCTGAGTGTTAAAGAGGTCAGTTTTATTTATCTACTAGCTTGTTGTCCGATCCGTTGGTCGGAATGTCATTAAATACAATGTATGAATGATGTGTATTTAAAATTTTTAAATTATTTGAAATGCTGAATTCCGTAGGCCATTAAGGTGACATAGAAATTATTTTTCCATTTTCGAAATTCTTATAACTTTTTATCAATGATGAACATTGTTAGCTTAATTGTTATAACCAAAGTTATCAAACCGGTTTAAGTTGTTGAGTCGGTCAAGCAAGTAATTTGAAGTTTAATGGTTAGATTGAGGTCCAACCTGTTTGAGCTGTTTTACACATTTTCTAAATATATTTACATATAAGTTAAAAATTTAGTGACTGAAATGGAATATAATAATTTATATCTATTAAAAACTCAAATTCCATAAGAAAACATACTTATTTCAAGATCCACCCACCATCCTCTTGCCTCTCTCACCCTCACCCTTCCCTCTCTCTTCTTCTCCCTCTCTAACAATTAGACACTTGGTTTTGTAGAGCCGGTTTTGGGACACGACTTTGGTCGGACCTAGTCCAACCAGCTTCAATGTAGAGGTGTTACAACCTTGGTTATAACACTCATGAATAACCATTCATAACTTGTCAATTTAATGATGTAGTCACTCTGAAAAGAAAATTGACATAACAAAAAAAAAAGTGTCTGGAAAAACATAGCATAAGTAGGAAACTCGTGATCATAACTTTTATTCAATATTTATTTCTTATGCTTGAGAAACAATACATATATATAATAGTATCTAAACCTTAAAGTATTCTGCACAATACAATAACAAAATTAGTAAGAAAATAACATTTTCCATTCATACTCTCTATGCAATGAAAAAATTTAGAGGTGGCAATTAGGATCCAAATCCATGCATCCAATCCAATCCATCCACCAAATTATCCACCTAATCCAATCCATTTAAATTCAATCCATTTGATCCAAATCCAATTAGATTGGTGGATTCATGGATCAATCCATGGATCCAAATGACAAATTACGATTTGGTACCTATATTTTTTATATTTTTCTTTTTGGTACCTAAAATTTATATTTTTATACGAAAAATATCATTGGAAAATTACATTTTGGTACCTAAAATTTTTCAGTATGACATTTTAATACCAAAACTTTTCAAATTTTACATTTTGGGCCAAGCCTTGGATGTCATTTGGATTCATGGATCAATCCACCAATCCATTTGATCCATGGATCCACCAATCCAATCCACGAATTCACGAATCCGATCCAATTGTCACCTCTAAAAAAATTATTTATCAACCAACATACTCTAAATTTAGTTGAAGTACAATCTTATTCACTCAACAAAAAAATTAGACCTATCTTGTGATATCTATCTTACTAATGCACATGACCACATCAATGCATCCATGAAAACTCTAGCTCGACTTTCATGATTTTTTGTACTGCGGTTATTTCATATTAAACTAAGTAATTATAAATGATACATATGATCAGTTCTCCTATAAGATAAAAGATTTAAATAATTGAAATCATCTAGAATGATTGGTATTTAAAAATTGTGTTCTTTTAAACTCATTCGTTCAATTATGCCATATTATCAAGAGAGTGAGGATTTAACAGTAAACCAAACTAAAATTTTCAAAAAGCTGGTCACTTACAGTTTGCATAACAATATCGTTGCTTTAATAGTTCTAAAAATTAATACCAAGTTAAGAATTGTATATCACATATACACATTCAATATTGCAAATCAATATGTAATTTTCGAATCAATGATATTTGGGTTTCAATTTTATGCCCCATTTATACGATAGACATAAATTAAATTTATTATTAAACTCCAAGTAAAATAATTAAATATGAAAATTCAAATATAAAATAACAAAGAAAGTACTTACGGGAGAGTTGGTGGGCTAGCTAACAGTAATGGAAAAGTTGTATGATTTTTAGATTTAAGGTTTTCAATTTTTTTAATTAAAAAGATACAAAAGATTTTTTTAGTGTAATTGATAATGGTTGTTGTCTTAGTAAGGAAAGATCATGGTTCAAATCCTGGGATTGATAATGATAAACAGCAACTCACATATAGGTCCCCGCACCTGGAATTCTGTTCTGAAATTGGTCAGGATTTAGGAGTCATGGATGGTTTTCAAGATTATTTTCCTACCGGTGAAATAATTTTGTATGACATATTAGCTTTTTAGCATAACTTCTCATTTTAAGCGGCATATCATGTATTAGATATAATGTCTGTCTAGTGGCTCTATGAAAGTTGACCATTTATGGAAGTCACTTATCATTCATCATTTTATTTGCTTCAATATCAGAAGATGAAAATAAGAAATAAATAACTTTGTGGAATGACAGGTATCAGGAAAGCCAATCAAACTTGTGGGACGAGGAGAGAGAATGGATGACCTGGAACCTTTCTACCCAGATCGTATGGCTGGACGTATTTTAGGAATGGGAGATGTTCTGTCATTTGTGGAGAAAGCACAGGAAGTAGTAAGTGGCTGGTAAAATCCAGGGTATTCCATTCATCTGAACACAACATGAGTTGAATTGGAAAAATTTTGGTTTCACTTTTGATATCTAGATGCGCCAAGAAGATGCCGAAGACCTTCAAAAGAAGATAATGAGTGCAAAATTTGACTTTAATGATTTCCTGAAGCAAACTCGAGCAGTCGCGCGCATGGGTTCCATGACTCGTGTCCTTGGCATGATCCCAGGGATGGGAAAGGTATGGGGGGGCTCGTTTCAGGTTCTGCGGTTATGTCATTGCTACTGAGAAGTACGGCTTGTGTGCCGCAAGTGTTTCAGTTCGTTTGCTGACACTTGAGGCTTCAAATGGCTATGGTATTCACAATCAAACAGGTAACTCCTGCTCAAATTCGAGAAGCAGAGAAAAGCCTAACGATAATGGAAGCGATGATAGAAGTGATGACTCCAGGTCCCTTTGGATTTCTCCTCTTTGCTGTAGAATGTTGATAGTTATACTTACACAACATGCCTCCTTCTAAAAATGGGCATCAGTAATTTGCAGAGGAAAGGGAGAAGCCTGAATTATTGGCAGAGTCAGCAGTGAGGAGAAAAAGGATTGCCCAAGAGTCTGGGAAAACAGAACAGCAGGTATGCTCGTCTATAGGCGGCTGATCTTGTAACCTGTTTGTCCTTATAACGGCTAGTTGTACTTTGTCTTGTGTAATGAAATAACAGGTGAGCCAACTTGTTGCCCAATTGTTCCAAATGCGTGTTCGGATGAAGAATTTGATGGGTGCAATGGAAGGTGGATCTATTCCTGCTCTGAGTAATCTTGAAGATTCCCTAAAGGCCGAACAGAAGGTACTTTATCTTCTCAACTTACTACAAAGTAACTATATTCAGGATAAATAGCTGGAAAAATAGTATAGCAGTGATAAGTATAGGCTTGCTAAATCAACGTAACTTTGGTGGGGATATTTTTCTTGTGCCTTAGGCTCCTCCTGGTACTGCAAGAAGGAAGAGAAGATCGGAGTCCAGGAAACAGTTTCAAAGCTCAGCATCTCCAAGGCCTACTCCTCGTGGCTTCGGTTCAAGCAATTAGGATCTATCCACTCGGAAAAGATACAAGTCTGATATCCTGGAACTGTCACGTTTGATTGAAGCATCCAGCCAGCGATTTGAGAGAAAGTAGTTTATGTAACAACGCATCATTCCTTTTGTTAGTCGTTTCTGTACAAGTTGTTCAGTATTTGGATGTGAACTCCTCCTCCTGAAGATTCAATGCTTTTATTATTCCTTGTTATGAGCATCTCTTTCTCTTGGTTGGTTCTTGAGGTTGTAAGTGATCCCATTTCAAAGCAGATTTCTGTTTGGAAAATGACCAAATTTTTAGGTGAAAAAAGGAACGGGCTTGAGAATCGGGCCAGCAAGAAGAGAAATCCTGGAGGGTTTTTGTGTTAACCAAACCCGGACTACTAAAAATAGTAAGTCTTTACTTATATCTCATGTTTGGCCCTTGTTTATTGGTTGGTTAGTTGATTATTTACTTGTATATTTCGGATCCCATTTAATCTCCATTGAGGGTTGTGGACAGGAGCAGAACAAGTGCAACAAACTTGGGAGCATTCCAGGACAGGACACTTGTCATTGTTCTTGCTCTCATCAGTTTATGTAAAACGAAAAAAAAAAAAAAAAGTTAGCTTCTCTCTCTTTTTCCTTCTTTTCTTCCCGCTCTCCCTTTCTTCGTTGCAGAACCTAACACACTGCAGAGGAAGGGACAAAGATCTTTTAGATCAAAACGAAGCAAAAGAGAAAAAAAAAGAAAGAAGGAAGAAAAGATGGCAGCGGTTCCTGATAAGAAAGCATTTCCAGAAGCTAATGTAGACAAAGAGCTGAATCCTGGCCACAACAAAAGAGTCGAGCCTGATTCCACTTCCTCCAGCATTGCCGCCTCCCTTGCCAACAAGGTACTCTACTTTTGATCATTATCTCCGACATTTCTCGTTGTCTGATCATCCTGCTTACCAATAACTGGATACCCGTAAAGCGTCGACAATGGCTTTTTCCTTAATGATTAAGGTTCTCTAGAAAACTCGTTACGATTAGCTTGATTTAGGAATGTGGAAAAATGGTTTGCTTATTTGAATTGGGCAAATTGTGAATGTTGATTGCTTGACGTAAATAAATGACATATTACTATTTGTTTTGTTTGAACACATTGTCAAAACAAACGCTGATCGGAGAGGTTGTGGGTTTTGGCATGGCAGGAAAAGGAGGAGGCAGAAAAGAAGAAGGCGGGTGGGGCAAAGAAGGATAGTGGGGATGGCTTGAAAACAACGGTGATAATCTCAGTGATTTTTGCTGCTATTGCTGGTGCTGCATTTGGCATTGCTAAGAAATTGCGAGAGAAACAAACCTGAGAATTAGGAAAAATAAAGCCACCAAAAAGGAAAATCATGGTCCATTGATAAGGCTGGAAAAATCTATTAGTATCACGTGTTTTCTCCTTTTTGTTTTTTTGTTTCTAGTTTGTTTTCTGTCTGCAGAAGTTGCTAGAGAGAAAACTGAAAGTCTCGCATGCATGCATTTTGTTAACTCGCAACATCATCAGAGGATTTTGGAGTTGGATTAGTTTGATCATTGTATTAAACCCTAAAACCCTAAATGTGTTCATCATCCCGGCACCAACATTTTTTGGTTAACTCCTTTTTGTTTCTGTTTCCGATTGTTCAGTTCGCCCTTAGCTGTAGAACTGGAATTAGGTTACATCATGAAACTTTCTTTCTCCCAATTTCTATTATGAACTAGAAAAGCTTATTATTTTCCTTCCCTAATTCACTTTGGCTTCTACCGTTTAGAATGAGAGGATTAAGAGGTTTCGGGTGTGGGTAGGTGTGGGTATGACATTCTTATAAGACTTTTTTGAGTAGGTTACATTAAAGCAAAATACACTTTCATAGCCAAAACTATTCGCGTTGTGACAAATATAGTCAGTTTTTGAAAAATACACTTGTATAGCTATTCCGTCCAAAACTTTAACGAGAATTTGACGACTGCTGACTGGACTAATGGATGATTGTAACGTGGATGTGGTTCATCTACGTGGCAGGACAGGTGTAAATTGTATTTTATTTCATTATTAAAAAAGGTAAAACCCTAAAACTAACTTTACCAATTAATCGACTACCTTTTACCATTTCACGCGATTTACCCTTCCCTTCTCTCATTCTTCTCTCGTCAAACAGCTCCCCCATCTCTCCCGATCGACGAATTGATCGAAGACCACACCCCGACGGCCCGACCCACTTCTCCGTCGCTCCAGTGAACGACGTCTCCCCGTATCGCTCCTCCATCTCCGGTGAAGACAGAGGAAACCATGCATCATCCGGCTGGTGAATAGACGACGGCGGCGAACCCTAATCCTTCGTCGTAGCCGTCCTTCGTCGCTATCATCCTTCATCGCACCCGTCGCTTGAATCGTCCAACCCAGAATCGCGACGCGAGGTCGGCGAACCCTAATTTTGGATTCGCGTTTGGATGGTGAGTGAAGACAAAGAGTATGGCGTTATAGTGTGAGAATGTTATTGTTGGAATGAGGTTGATTAAAGTGCAATTTTTGGTATCTATTTATAGGTGTTGGCGATCTGTAAAGCTTGGAGAGCGACACAACAAGTTCGTGAAGGGACCACGAAACTTCTCTTTGTGGCGAGATTGCCCCTGAATTAAACGGTAAGAAGCTCATCACATTGGATACAAAAGTCAATTTGTAGTGACGACAAATGTGCTTTGAAATTGGTTATTTGATTCGCAATTCTTTAGTGGATAGCCTGTTGTATGCGATTTGTTTATTGTGAAGCAGAAAGTTGGTTCCACTTAAGGCTAATTAATTATTAATTTTGTAATTATATAGTATATAATGAGAATAAGGTTGTTATCTTAACAGATGACAGACTCGTGGGATGAATTGGTGGGCGAAAATGACCCAAATTAGATTGGGCATGATGAGGCTTTGCTAGGCAGCCACAATGTTGGAGACGCTTCTGTTGCTCCTGATATCTATCATGTTTATGACTCCGATAACGCAATGACATCATATGATGAATATCACGAGGCTAGAGCTAACCTACGTGCATATGGTGAAGGGAGGAAAAGGAAAGTGATTACAAGAGTTGCTGCTAGTGGAGAAGAGGTAGAACAGCTTGAGGAATTTGAAGATGACTATGAAAATGGGGAGGAGGAAGGCCATTGTTAATGTGACTTGAATCGGACTATCAGCCGCTACGACTGGTAATCGGGGGTCTCGCTGTTATTTGGGTTCAGGTTCTGGGCCTGGTCTGTAACTGTCTCCTCTGTAATCTGCAATCTCCTCGATATAGTGAATTTGGCTCTCTCTCGCCCGTGGATGTAGCTAACACACATTGTGTTAGTGAACCACGTAAATCGTGTGTCTGTGTTTTTCGATTCTCGCTTTCGTATTCTTGCTTTATCGATTCCGACGATTTCCCGATCCGTAGCAGCGCGTTTATAACAAGTGGTATCAGAGTCGCGGCTGGAAATCAGGTTAGGGTTTTCGATTCAGAAGAATGACATCGGTGAACAAGAAGATCAAAAAGTTCACGGGGAAGAACAGCTTCGCTATATGGCAGATCAAGATGCAGGCTTTATTAAAACAACAAGGCTGTGGGGGCCGCTGTCTGCGAAACAGAAGAAGGCAACGGTCGATGACGATGAGTGGAATACCCTGGAGGAGAAGGCCCACTCGACCATCATGCTATCGTTGTCTGATGACGTCATCATTGAAGTCGCTGTTGAGAAGACTGTCGCGGGCTTGTGGTTAAAGTTGGAGAGTCTGTATATGACGAAGTCCTTAACCAACAAGATACATCTCAAGCAACGGTTGTTCAGCTTGAGGATGCAAGAAGGTACGCCTTTGAGGGAACATCTCGAACAACTTAACTCTATTTTGCTGGATCTGCGTAATATAGATGTTCAAGTTGATGACGAGGATGCTGCCCTAATCCTGCTGGTTTCTTTACCGAGGTCATATGAGAATTTCGTTGATTCTTTTATTGCCGGTAAAGAAAGCGTGTCGTTGGAAGGTGTCAGGTCTGCTCTTCATACGAGAGAGATTAGACATAAGGCATCCAGATCTGGTACAAGTGGTGAGGCATCGGGTTTGGCTGTTACAGGTGGAAAGGGAAAGAAGAAATCTGGTAAAGGGAATTCGAATAAGAATTCCAAGGGTCCCGGTCCACATCCAGGTGATGCTTGTCACAACTGTAAGGAAGTGGGGCATTGGAAGTACAACTGTCCCAAGAGAAGAGGGCAACAGAAGAAACAAGGTTCAGTTGCCGTGGAAGAAGTGGACAACAGTTCTGAAGAGGATCTCGCCTTGGCTGTAGATGAGAAGGCACATCGTGGGGATGTTTGGTTTCTGGATACTGCAGCCTCATACCATATGTCTCCGAACAGGGATTGTTTCACAACCTACGAGCAGATAGATGGTGGTAATGTGGTCATGGCAAATGGAGCTGTCTGCATGGTTGTTGGAATCGGGTCCATAAAAGTTCGGGCACATGATGGTTCGTTCTGTACCATGAATGATGTCAGGCATGTTCCACGAATGACAAAGAACCTGATCTCCTTGAGTCTACTCGACAGCAAGGGTTTCAGCTTCAAAGGAAAAGGTGGAGTTGTGTATGTCTGCAAAGGTTCAAGGAAGGTGCTGAAGGGCGTGAAGCGTGGGACCTTGTATGCATTCTAAGGATCTGTGTTGTCTGATTCTGCTGCAGTTGCATCGTCTCTCTGGCACATGAGACTGGGGCATATGAGTGAACGGGGGATGCAAGTTCTATCGAAGAGGGATCTTCTTTAGGGCACAAGATGCAGAATTTGGAATTCTGCGAGCATTGTGTGTTTGGGAAGCTACATCGCAGCAAGTTTCCCAAAAAGGGTATCCACCGGATGAAGGGGATACTAGATTACCTCCACTCCGACTGTTGGGGTCCTTCACGAGTTGAATCCATTGGAGGCAGATGGTATTTTCTGTCTATTATTGATGATTATTCGAGATTTAGTTGGATTTTCATGATGAAGCAGAAAAGTGAGGCTTTCACGAAGTTCAAGCAGTGGAAGACATTGGTGGAGAATCAGACCGGGAAGAAGATCAAGAAGCTGCGAACGGACAATGGTCTGGAGTTCTGTAATTCTGAGCTCAACGAATTCTGCAAGGATGAAGGGATTGCCCGTCATCGGACCGTGAGAGATACATCCCAGCAGAATGGCATTGCAGAATGGATGAACCAGACATTTTTGGAGAGAGCACGGTGCATGCTCTCTAATGCTGGACTAGAGAGAAGATGCTGGGCAGAAGTAGTGAACATGGCGTGCTTCCTGATCAACCGTGGACCTCACACAGGTATTGAGTTGAAGACTCCTTATGAGGTGTGGTATGGTAAGCCTGCTGATTACTCTTCACTGAAAGTTTTTGGGTGTCCTGTTTATTATCATGTGGATAAGGGTAAACTGAACCCAAGGGAAAAGAATGGTGTATTTGTGGTTTACGGAGATGGAGTTAAGGGATTTCGAGTCTGGTCACCTTCTGAGCATCAGGTTATACTCAGCAGAAATGTGATATTTGATGATAAGTCTATGTTTAGCCCCATGTTGAAGGTTACTGTTGTTGAAGGTAGTAGGAATGTTGATAAGCAGGTGGAGCTTCCAACTCTCAAAGAGAGTGAGTTTGAGCACCAAGGTGGAGAAGATCAACATGATGAGAATGTCTCTGCAAAGCCAGAAACTTCAAAGTCCAGTGCAGGAGCTCAAAAGTCTATATCTTCTAGTAGACCAAAGAGGACGACTGCAGGAGTACCTCCAGAGAGGTATGGTTTTGAGGACATGGTGGCGTATTCATTTCAGGTTGCTCAAGAAGTGGATGCAGGTGAGCCACAGTCCTATAAAGAAGCCGTTTCGGGTGGCGAAGCTAATCAGTGGCTTGCCGTAATGGGAGATGAGATGGAATCCCATGACAGGAATCAGACTTGGGAGCTAGTCAAACGACCACACGGAAGGAAGATTGTTACAAACAAGTGGATCTACAAGAAGAAGGAAGGAATCACTTCTAAAGAGGGCATGAAATTTAAAGCTCGGGTGGTTGCACGAGGCTTCTCGCAGAGGGAAGGAGTTTACTACAATGAGATTTTCTCACCAGTGGTTAGACATACTTCGATCAGAGTGCTACTAGCAATAGTGGCACATTATGACTTGGAGCTCGAGCAGCTAGACGTGAAGACAGCTTTCCTACATGGAGAGTTGGAGGAAGAAATTTACATGACTCAGCCAGAAGGATTCGAGGTTACGGGAAAAGAAGACTATGTTTGTAAGCTGAAGAAGTCCTTGTATGGACTTAAGCAGTCTCCAA